GGCTTTCAACCGAGCAACAGATCCGTCTGGGTTAACCTTAACAGCAAAGACCCACTTACATCCAATAGACTTTTTCCCTATAGGCAAGTCTACCAAATCCCAAGTACCATTAAGATCCAAAGCATTCATTTCCTCTATCATGGCATGACGCCATTCAGGATGAGACAAAGCCTCTTTAACAGATTTGGGAACAGAAATAGAATCAATGGAAGCAATAAAAGAACATGAGGCAGGGGATAACTGACTATACGACACAAATGAAGAAATAGGATGAGTACAAGATTGTGTACCTTTACGTAGTGCTATTGGGAGGTCAAGATCTGATGTAGAGACAAGATCTGATGATGCAGGTACTGGTTCAGGACATGAGATCGAAGTCGGACTAGTATCAGGATAAATAATCATAGGTGTCGCCGGTGGAGGGTGATCAGGTGCTTTGTGTCGACGGGTGTATACCAAGTGTACAGGAGGCCTAAGGTCAGGAACAGTAACTTGTGGAATACTTGTCGAAAGTGTGGACTCGAGAATAATCATCGTGTAAATGAGTATATCATCATTATTCTCATGAATATCTGCCTTAGATGATGAAAAAGGTGTATTTTCATGAAATGATGCATCAATAGAAACAAGATATCGACCTGTACTCGGACAAAAACATCTATACCCCTTTTGGACTCGAGAATAACCCAAGAAAATACATTTTAATGATTTGCGATCTAGCTTTGTAAGATGAGAATTAACATCTCTAACAAAACAAGTGCAACCAAATATTTTAGGTGGGATAGGAAAAAGCTCTTTGTTTGGAAATAGACAATGATAAGGAGCTTTACCATTCAAAACAGAAGATGGCATACGATTTATCAAAAAACATGCAGTAGACATGGCATCGACCCAACACAGTTTAGGCACATTCATTTGGAATAGAAGAGCCCTTGCAGTTTCTAACATATGTCGGTTCTTTCGTTCTGCAACCCCATTTTGAGGAGGTGTGTCAACGCACGAAGTTTGATGAATAATACCATGCTGAAGCATAAATGACTTAAACGTAACAGATAGATATTCTTGGGCATTGTCTCCTCTTAACATCCGAACAGGAACGTTAAACTGAGTTTTAATTTCAGCACAAAAGGAAGAAAAATGAGTGAACAACTCAGATCGACGTTTCATGAAATATAGCCATGTCATACGAGAATAGTCATCAACAAAGGTAACAAAATATTTAAAACCAGCTTTAGACACAACCGGGCAAGCACCCCAAACATCAGAGTGAACAAGGTCAAATGGAGCATTGGCTCGTTTATTAACTCGAGGGCTTAAGCTAGTACAATGGTGTTTCGCAAATTGACATAACTCACATTGTAAAGAGGTCATCTTATTGAATTGGGGATTTATTTGCTAAATTAATGGGAGAGATGGATGTCCTAATCGGTAATGAGCCTCTAACAAAGTTCCGAACCCAAGACAAGAGATACCTTTTGTGATTGATGTATCCAAAATATAAAGACCAGCTGACTCATGTCCTTTACCAATAGTCTGCTTCGTTAAAAGATCCTGAAACAAACAATATCCAGGAAAAAATGTTACATAACAATTAAGAGTACGAGTGATTTTGCTGATGGAAAGCAGATTAAATGCAAAATTAGGAAGACTCAGAACAGGTGATAATGGTAGTGTAGAAGTTGGGACAACAATACCAGATCCAAGAACAGGTGAGTTTGATCCATCAGCTAAAGTGACACTAGAAGTAGGTAAATATGAATGAAATGATGAGACTAGATTAGGATTACCAGTCATATGATCTGTGACACCTGAGTCAATGACCCATTTCAAGGATGAGAAAACAAGACATGTGTTTGAAATACCTGGATTAGCGACTACCGAGATAGGGACAAACGAATGCTTTAAAAATTCTTGGTAGGAAATAAATTAGGCATACTCGTCTGAAGAAACAGCAATTGATCCATCAGATGAACTGGTAGCGGAAGCAACATGACCAAGCTGATTTCCTTGATCCTTGAATAACAATTTCCTACATTCTTTGATGAAGTGCCCGGGCTTCTTGCGGTAATTGCATATTACTCCTTTGTCAAATTGTCTGGTACAATACATTTTTTTTAACTCTTTTTTCGACTTTGTTTTTTGATTTTTTTTTTGATTTTTTTTTTGTTAAAAGAAAAACAGAATAAAAGAAAAACTTGAAATGAAAACTCGACTCACCGCAGCTTTGAATTTAAAATTTTGGAGAATAAAATATCCAGCTTGGGCTTTTTTATTGATGCGCTCCAAACTTAACGCGCAGATCAGATGCAAGATCCCAGCAGATAGCACATCCGAACAATCACCTGCGAACGACCCCAGCATGAATAGATGTCTGGAGATATGCGAGACCCAGCGATCGACCAACCACCAGACCTCCTCTCACTATCTTCCCTTTCTAGAGAAAGAACAAAAGAGAAGAAAAGTATACCTGGGGTAGAGGCGATGGCAGAGCTAGCTGGTGAGGCTGAGATGGTCCAAGCTCAAGTGCGTCGGGAAGTCGAGGCGATATTTATGAACGGCCGACGACGTTGAAGCACAATCAGATTAGCTGGTGATCTATTGATCTGATGGCAACGCACCAACATAGAGGCGAGATAGGTAATTGACTGAAGCTCGTCTGGAATATGGTCGGGTCTGGAGGAGATGGGAGATTTGGACTGTAGAGGATCTGTCTTGAGGTTCTGAAGAATCTGAAAAACTAAACACAAGTTCCTGAAGAAGAATTTGGAGACAGACCAGTGTCTGAATGTTCTGAATAATCTAAAGACTGAACTCAGGTTCTTGAGAATTCAGTCTGAAAATCAAACTGAAATCTGAAAAACTAAACTAAAATTGAAGTCTCTGATACCATGTTGAAATATAAACTACAATGATATTAAGAATGGAGAGAAGGATTTTCTGTGTATTTCATTGGAGGGTTAAGTCCCTATATATATACATTACAAAGATAGAATATTCCTATAAGATTCTATACAATAATAATATCCTAGAGTATATTCCTAAAATATTCTAAAGGATATTCTAAAGATATTATGCTTTAGAAGAATATTCTAAAGCATATTATAAAGTATATTCTATTCTAATGTCTTTCACAATGTGAAAGATGAGGTAACTGTACGCGGGAACAAGTTCCCATAAAGTTATCACAGTTTGCAGTTTCAAATATTCTTATATGTTTAATTTAGTAGGTCGCTCCCCTAAGTTGTCAGATTAGTGCCATTGAGTACATATTGTGGGTCCAAAGGTGAAATTAGCCACATAAAGCGTATAATAAGATCTGTTTCAAAAACTTTTATAAAACGTTTAATGAGATTTCTTTCAAAAAGTTTTACAGAGATCTGTTTAGAAAGTATTTTGAAATCGATGTAATTTCGGAGTTATTTTAGAAGAATTTTTTTATAACGCTTCAGTATTATCTCGGAGTTAGTTTAGAAATTATTATTTTGAGATCTATTTGATAAGTTACTTTTGAGTTATTTGCTAACTGTAGTGAGACTTATATGCTAATTTTTTCTATTGATAAATTAACATAAACTTCTCAAATAATTTTGTGGAATCACAGTGACTTACTAAACGTAAAGCTAATCAATTTTTTTCTTTATGTTTGCGTGTACAGATACAATGAGTAAGGCCAAGTACTAGGAGAAGGATGAGGGAATGGCGACTTCTAGCTACTTATGGTTGATTGGAATATTTATTTGATTGTTTGAAGTTGACTAGATTCCTAGATCCAAGTGGTTATCACATTTGTTGGTGATAACTATATTTTAGGGTTTAATGCACCAAACCACCTCGTGATATAGAAATTCAGCGCATTAGCCTCCTGTGATTTGAAAAATGCATAAACCCCCCTTGTGTTTTAATTAATCATGCACATAACCCTTTTTATGAATACATTTAATGATTTTGAAATTACTTTTCCTAATATTCTGATTGAATATGCAAGTAAATATGTCAAAATCTCTAAATCATACAAAAATGTTAATCATTTTTCTTTTATTTGATAATTGAATTTGTTCAAAGTAGAGATTTTGCGCATAATTAATTAAAACACAAGGGGTTTTGACGCATTTTTTAAATCACAGGGGGCTAATGCGCCGAATTTCCATATCACATGGTTTGGTGCATTAAACCCTAGATTTTATAAAGTTTAATTTTACTTGGAGTTGTTTTAGTTACTTTACAAGATTTTAGCAGGGTCATTTATTTTTTAAATAAAGGGAATTTTTCAAAAATATCATAAAATAAAACTTATTTACATAAATATGACTAATAGTTACTTCAATGTAGTGTCATGGTAATTTAAATTTAAAAACTGAACAAAAGTTAATATAATTCCATTACTACTCTAATCACTAATCACGTTTTTGTTAACAATCTTTATTTTAGTTATATATATATTTAATTATTTCTTAAACAAATAGTTGTATTGATTTTTTAAAAGCAGTAAGTTAGTGGAGCACATCGTTTTAACCTAAAGTGGTGCACTACACAGTGGCAGCTTGAGACTTTCAGGGGTCCTAGACCAAAAAATATTTGCTATACACAAATTATATTAAAAATTGAATAAAGAATATCATATGAAAAAAGCACATTCAGTATGATTTGTACAGAATAGTGATAGGCTCATTCCTTCCCTATCTTTTCATCCATATTTTGGGTGTTAATTGTCTAATTTTTATAATTAATCGGGTGACTATTGGGGGTTTGAATGAAAATTTGTAATTTTTCGGTCCCGGTGCCATTCATTTTCAGTGTAGTATTTTTCTACGCAGTTTGACATTTTTGGAGTAATTTAATTGTAAATTACATATTTTTAGCGGATGTGGTGAGTTGTAATTATACCGGCTGATTTTTGCGGTGACTAACATGTTATGTTTGGACCAGACATTTTGAGAATTCTGTTAAGATCAATTTGGCACAACAGCCCAACAAAAGAAAAAAAAGAAGAGCATTCATCTGAAGCAGCCCAAAAAGTCCAGCAAGAGTAAGCGTTTTTCATCAGGAGAAAACCTCAGCCGCAGAAGGGGATGAGAGCCGCAGCAGTTAGAAGCAACCAATGTTTTTCTGTTCTTCACTTAGCAGCAGAGCCGCATCCATTCAAGTCCTTTCTTTTCTGTCAATTAGCCACACCAAGAGTCGCATGAGCTCTTCTAGCCTTCTATTCTTTCTATTCCAAGCATAAAAAAAGGAGTAGATGTAGCAGTCGTTCAAATCTTTCGATTTCGTATCAATTAGCCGCATCAGTCATACTTTTTGTTTTGCGGAGGATCAATTGGGGGCATCAGTTTTTCTTCTTCTCTTGAGAAACAATCCCAGCAGCCACACCAGACAACCAAGGTTTCAAAACTACAATTTTATTCAATTTCTTCCAATCTAATTTAGATTTTCAACAAGTATTGTAAGTTTGGATTGAATTTCGAATTTGTTTGTCTCCGATAGCTAACTTCAGTTTTTTTTTTCATTTAATACTCATAATTCAGTTTTTATTTCTAGTTCATTATCATGTTTACCAATATTATCGTGATGTTAGTTTTAAGTATGAGTAGCTAATTCCACATAGGGTTTGAATTGGAGCTAGGGTTCATGGGTTCTTGAGGGTGTGAATTTAGTTTTTGAAATTCAATTAATTTTCTAGAAAATTGTATAAGATTGGTCATAATTGTCTATATGAATTTGATCACCTCATATATGAATGTCTGGATTTAATTCAATTCTTGTCTATGAGAAATTGAGTTAAATTAGCATGAGTCTTATACAAGCAATCTGATCTTAGAAATAAGTTAGGATTGTGATAATATATTTTAATTCTTGTCTATGAGAATTGATTTCATTTTCTTTCCAGGAGTAATTGAAAATTAATTTACTTAATTTTAATCCCGAAAGAACACCCGAAACCTGAACCATCCAATTTGAACCATGTTTTAAAATCTAGAATCAATTTAATTAAAAAAAAATTACTCTATTTATTTTTGCACTCGCTGTTAGTTATTTTTTTTATCACCCGAAAACAATTTTTTCAGAAAGATTACTATGACTTGTGCTAGCCCGTGATCACGGATTGTATTTAAAACTTCCTTTTTGCCACTCCTTGAGAGACGATACTCGTGGTCTGGTTATTCTACAGATTAACCAACTACGTTTTACTCACTAAAAAAATTACACCGATCAAATGGCGCCGTTGCCGGGGAGTGGCACGATTGTTTGTTAAGTACTTTCTGTGGAATAGGTAAAAGCAAGTCGGTGAGACTTTCTATTTCTTTTCTGTTATTTGTTTTTGTTTCTGGTGTTCTTTGGACGTGAACTAAGCTGCAAGAACTAGTGCATGCACACTCGCTCCTCGGGGGAACAAGATTTAATTGCAGGTTATTCGAATCCTGAACGCTTATTCCGAGGAAGAGCTAAAAGGCGATTGCTAGAAGACTTAAACAAAATGGTCGATGAGACAACTCTGGAGAAGTTGACGCCTAACTATGTGGTGAGAAATAGCATTGGTGCACCCACCATTGAGGGCAACAATTTTGAAATCAAGCCGGCCATGATTCAGATGTTGGCCAATAATCCATTCTGCGGATACGCCCATGAAGATCCAATGGAGCATATTGAGAGCTTTATTCACACATGTGGTACATTCAAATATAATGGAGTGTCCAGCGAGGCGGTGAGTCTGACTTTATTCCAATTCTCGTTGAGAGATAAGGCATCGCGGTGGCTCCGTAGCTTTCCAAACAGGCAGTTTGATACATGGGAGAAGCTTCATGAGGCATTTATGCAGGAGTACTTTCCTCCCTCTGCCGCTATCAAGGTTCAGACAGAAATTCTCAATTTCACTCAAACTCCGACCGAGACTTTCAGTGAAGCATGGGATAGGCTGAAGACGCTGAGAAGGAAGTGTCCAGAAACATTCATGAATTCAGCAACCATTATGTGCAGAATTTATAATGGTCTTCGGCTGGAGTATATGAGAGAACCAGACCGGGCATCTCAGGGGGGTATGTTTCTAAAATTATCCCCAGAGGCAGAAGAGCAGATAATAGAGAATTTGACTTCAAATGATAAATATTGGTACGCGGGCAAGGAGAGAGCTCAAAATCCACCTGGTCTGCTCAATTTAGATCCCATCACTGCACTCACGGCGAAGATCGAGGGACTAGCAGTGGATGTCAAAGATTTGAAGGCACAGACCTCTCAGCAGCAACATGGGAGCTCAGCTCACTCACACCTGCCCTCTTTATGTTCAGAATAAGGCAGCTCCAGTGGTCCGTGATGTGAATTTTATGGAATACGGTCAAGGCCAGAGAGCTGGTGAGCAGTTTTTCAAAACTCAAGTTCAGAGAGGAAACTTTCAGCAAGGAGGAGGCTTGTGGAGACCTGAAAATCAGAATCAGGGGCAGCGGAATGCCCCCAATTACCAAGCAAATTTTCAGAATAGAGGCAATCCACATCAGCCCACTTATGTCCCGCCTCACCAAAGACAACTTGAACCACCTCCGATAAATGCAGCGTTAGAGAAAACAATGGCTGAATTAGCCAAAAATCAAGCGAAGATGCACCAGCGTTTCAGCATCCTAGAAGCTCTTATCCGCTAGCTTGGTTCAGTTGCTCCTAGAGAACCCGGAGCCTTCTGAGTTCAACAGAACCCAATCCAAGGGAGCAAGTGCAGGCTGTTACACTACGCAGCGGGATGACCCTTACAGAAGTTAATACTCCACCATTGCCTCAACAAAATGATGACCAGCGGCATCAAGACCCGAAATCCCAGGAGGTTGAAGAAGAACCAGTGGTTGTCCCTATTCCTTCCAAGAGTAATGAAGCTCAGAAAGAAGATTCTATGAACAAAGAGAAGAGTAAGACGACTCCACCTCTCCCGTTCCCTATATGGGGGAAGAGAAGCAACGATAACACAAACCTGATTAGATTTATGGAGCATCTGAAGCAGTTTCATATTAATGTCCCATTCATAAAAGCTTTGACGGAGATGCCGAGGTACGCAAAATTTCTGAAGGATCTCCTCACGAAAAAGAGGAGGTGGGAAGAGCCGGAAGTGGTGGATCTTAATGCGGAATGTTCAGCAGTTGTTCTGAAGACTATGCCTCCGAAGCTAAAAGACCCAGGGAGTTTTACTGTACCTTGTTCTATTGAAAATTTTATGTTTAATAATGCTTTAGCTGATTTAGAAGCTAGCATCAACCTGATGCCTTCCTCTGTTGTCATGAAACTTGGCTTGGGTGAACTTAAGCCCACTCGTATGAGCCTCCAGCTAGCGGATCGATCGGTGAAATATCCGAAAGGAATTCTAGAGGATGTATTAGTACGGGTGGACAAGTTCATATTCCCAGTTGACTTCGTGGTCATGGACATGGAGGAAGATCGTGAGACTCAACTTATTTTAGGGAGACCCTTTCTGGCTACTGCTAGGGCCCTTGTCGATGTTGCTGCTGGTTCACTTTCTCTGAGAGTTGGGGACGATGTGTACTTTTAAATTCTCAGAGGTGATGAGTAAGGCCTCAAACCCCGCTGAATCATGCCATTATCTTGATATGTTTGAGTCAGTGGAGAGGTATTTATTTGGAGGCGATAGTGATATTACCCCACCTGTTAGTGACATTCATTATGTGGGGGATATGGTGGCTGAAAATGAAGAAGAAATGACTGTTGATTGCGAGCAGATGATTAGGGATGATGATTTCCCTACGTTGCTTACTGAGTTTGAGGAGCAGCCCACTGATAAGGTAACTCCTGAACTCAAACTGCTCCCTAGTCGCCTGGAGTATGCAATTTTAGACACACAGGGCCAACACCCTGTCATTATTTCAGCCTAGTTAGAGTCGGGACAGAAGGAAAAATTGATGGATGTCCTTAGGTGTCACGAGAAAATCATTGCGCGTAAGCTTGAGGATCTTCGTGGGATTAGCCCAACCTTATGTACCCACAAAATCAAGTGTGAGGAGGGGTATAAACCAGTCGTGCAACCACAACGACGTTTAAACCCCAAGATGATGGAAGTGGTAAAGGCAGAAGTCCTGAGGCTTCTGGATGTGGGTATAATTTACCCAATTTCAGATAGCCAATGGGTTAGCCCTACTCACGTGGTCCCCAAGAAGGGGGGTATGACGGTGATTCAGAATGAGAAGGGGGAACTCCTACCTAGTAGGACGGTGACCGGGTGGCGGATGGTCGTTGATTACCATAAACTAAATGAAGCCACTCGGAAGGATCACTTTCCCTTACCTTTTATTGATCAGTTGATTGAGAGTTTGGCAGAGCATGCTTATTATTGTTTCCTTGACGGGATGAGCGGGTACATTCAAATACATGTTGATCCCGTTGACCAGGAAAAGACCACTTTTACTTGCCCATTTGGAACATTTGCATTTCGTAGGATGTCTTTTGGTCTACGCAATGCCCCTGCCATATTTATGCGTTGTATGATAGCTATCTTTGAGAAGTTTATTGGTGATTTTATGGAGGTTTTTATGGATGACTTCTCTATTTTTGGGGAGTCATTTGATGAACGCCTCCATAATTTAGAGAAAGTGTTGATTAGGTGTGAGGAGACCCACTTGGCCTTGAGTTGGGAAAACTGTCACTTCATGGTCAAGGAGGGTATTGTGCTAGGTCATAAGGTGTCATCTAAGGGTATTGAGGTAGACAAGGCAAAAATTGAGGCCATTGAGAAACTCCCGCCTCCAATGACCGTAAAGGTTGTCCGTAGCTTTCTTTGGCACACCGGCTTCTACCGTCGCTTTATTCGGGATTTCTCAAAAATAGCCAAACCTCTCACCCGTTTGCTTGAGAAAGATGCTGATTTTTTGTTTGATGATGATTGTTTGCTTGCTTTTAACTGTTTGAGACTTAAGTTGATGGAAGCTCCAGTTTTAGTTGCTCCAGATTGGGAAATCCCTTTTGAGCTAATGTGCGATGCTAGCGATCAAGTGGTCGGGTCATTCTTGGCCAACAGAAGGATAATCACTTCCGCCCCATCTATTACGCTAGCAAAACCTTAGCGGGACCCCAATTGAATTATACCACTACAGAGAAAGAGCTTCTAGCTATTGTATATGCTTTGGAGAAGTTTAGGTCGTATATTATTTTATCTGAAGTAATTATCTACACCGATCATTCGGTGTTATGATATTTATTTCAGAAGCACAACTCTAAACCTAGACTTCTCCGTTGGATTTTGTTGTTGCAGGAATTTAACATAGAGATTAAGGACCGAAGGGGTTCCGTCAATCAAGCAGCTGATCATTTATCACGATTAGATGCTGACTTGGTTGACTCTTTTGGTAATGATGTTATTGAAGAACTTTTTCCTGATGAACGTCTTTTGCAGGTTGAGATTGGATCTGAGGTACCCTGGTATGCAGACATAGCCAACTACTTAGTAGGCAATGTTGAGCCTACCGAGCTATCTCGGCACATTTTAAAAAAGTTTCTGTCTGATGCTAAGTATTATTTCTGGGATGATCCTTATTTGTTCAGGATTTATGCTGACCAGGTAGTACGAAGGTGTATTCCTGAGGGTGAAATGAATGAGATTCTTTACCATTGTCATGCTAGCCCCACTGGGGGGCATTTTTCTGGTAATAGGACATCAAGAAGAGTGTTAGAGTGTGGGTATTACTGGCCCACATTGTTCAAAGATGCAAATTCTTATGTTGCCTCATGCGATAGGGTGTCAAAGGGTAGGAAATATTTCTAAACGAGATGAGATGCCCTAGACATATCTATTGCCTTGTGAAGTTTTTGATGTCTGGGGGATTGATTTTGTAGGCCCGTTCCCTAGCTCAAGAGGCAATAAATTTATATGTCACGCCCCGGACCTACCCGGACACGTCAACAACCCGCCGTACAGTACGAATAGTCAACCGCAGTCCGACTCATCCATACTATACAAGGCGTCTTGAATACCATTCACACATAGTACATCCATAAACAAACATAATGTAAAACATTTATTAAAACAGCGGAAACAATTGATACAAGTGTTCAAGCCACACTTGGCATAATTAGGCATGCAAGCCCCCAAAGTAATTATTCAGAAAATATTATCCATGAGCATTATTCATATTGTTTTTCAAACAAGAACGGGAGAAGCACGAACCAAGTCTTCTCCTCGGAAACTTCCCGAAGCAGCGACTGGTGGTAGCAACCTTCAAGTTCTACCTGAAACTGTGAGATGGCCTCCCCCGTGAAGGGGAGGTCAGTACTTGGAAGCATTTGACAAGTACAATGACAACTATACTAAGTATAATCAAAGTTTAAATCTCTGAGGCCCTCAACTAGGGCATTATTACATTATAGTTAATCCGTTCATTTAATATTAATTCATCATTTTTTTATCACGGTCTAGAGCCCAGCTCATAATCACCGTTGTCTACTACGGTCTAGAGCCCAGCTCATAATCACCGTCATCTACTACGGTCTAGAGCCCAGCTCATAATCACCGTCATCTACTACGGTCTAGAGCCCAGCTCATAATCACCGTCATCTACTACGGTCTAGAGCCCAGCTCATAATCACCGTCATCTACTACGGTCTAGAGCCCAGCTCATAATCACCGTCATCTACATCGGTCTTGAGCCCGGCTCATAATCACCGATTCCTTATAATTCAAATTCTTAGGATCTAATTCATCCATTTCTCAACTAACATTTCCAACTAGTATTTCAATGCTAGTTATTTATTTATTTCAATATAATTCCTTCTTCTTGCATAATTGGCTTTAATATCAAGTATCACTTTCATACCTTCATGGCTTCTCCTCATGGCATCAAAGTATACTATCCCAAATGATATTCATGGTTGGTACAACCATCATACACACATATTCATAACATCTAAACATACGCAATTTATTCATAAATTTGTGTATCATGCATACTATACTTTTAACCAATAGTAGTTCTATTTATGCATTATTAACCGTCAACAATTCATGCACATCACATTTATATTCACTTAGGAAATCCCATGAAATTAACCCAAAGATTATAAGTATCATAGTCGGTCATCCTCACCTTAATTAAGTTTAAGCGCGTTCTACGTTTCTCGATTGGACTTTGACCAACTCCGGCGAACTTTGACCAACTCCGGCGAACTTTGACCAACTCCGACGAAACTCCGGCGAAGCTCAAAAATACTTTAAATCAAGTTCCTAACAAGGTTTTATCATCACAAAACCCATATCAACACAAATAACCTATAAAAGGTTATTTTCCGGCAACCCGGTCGATTTGGCTTCTAAGTCCGTTTTTGGACTTAGAATCACTTTCCAACCCATTATTCCACACTTAAATCATGTAGAACAATACTAAAGGTCTTTCATATAATATATACCTTATATGCTAGAAGAAAAACAAAGGAAAAGTTATGATAAGGTCATTACCTTAATTTTCACACTTTTTCCTAGCTTTTTCCTTCTTAAACTTTCTTCTTGGATTCCCTTTAGCTTGAGTTCGGATTTGGGCTATGGAGATGAAGTTTGCAGAGCTCTTCTCTTCTTCTTGGTGTATTTGGGTCGAAATGGTGAGTGTAAGGAGGTAGGGGTGGTTCCTTCTTGTCTCATTTAGACAATGAGTGAAGGGAGGGGGCCTACTACATGTCAAAGGTGTCTCCCCCATCCTCTCAATTGTTGTTCAGCCAATTTGGCACTCATCCAGCCCTCAAGGGTTGACAATTTCGTGGGGTGGCCCCCACCCATGTGGGAGGTCATCCCAATTTGTCCCAACGTGTGCAATTTGCCCCGAAAGTTGTATTTTTTGGACTGTTTTAAGTATATTTTATTTTATCGGGTCAAATAAAATATAACACTTGTTCCCAATTCTTAATGGACCTTAGAATCAATATGCATCCCTCAACTTTAATTTAGAAGTCTCCGAAATCCCTTTTCGGGCTGTTATCTGATAGGTTGCCGATACTGATAATTTGGCCCCGATTGACCAACCGGTCAACCCTATGCCATTGTCATGGCTCAACTAGAGTATCCACCACCATATACATATTATCTAGTCCAAGATCAATATAATATGTGGCCCCGATAATATCGGGCGGTCCCCACTCCCGATGTGGGCCCCACGTGCATTTTACTATTCACGCGAAAAAATTAATACAAATTCACAACTTCGTAAATTCACTAAATATTTCATAGGGTTCAATAAATTATTAGCTTAAAGATAAATACATTTGGGGACGGTGTTACATTATATTAGTCGCTATTGATTATGTGTCGAAGTGGGTAGAGGCTATTGCGAGCCCTACTAATGATGCTAGAGTGGTTATGCGTTTTGTAAAAAAATTGTTTTCTAGGTTTGGAGTCCCCAAAGTTTTGATTAGTGATCGAGGAACTCATTTTCATAATGATCCGCTAGCTCGTGTGTTGTCTAAATATGGGGTTCAACATCGGCAAGGAGTAGCCTACCACCCCCAAACTTAGGGGCAAGTAGAGAATGCAAATCGGGATCTTAAGGCTATCCTAGAAAAAACTGTAACGCAAACTCGTAAGGATTGGTCAGAAAAATTAGATGACGCGCTATGGGCTTTTAGGACAGCTTATAAGATCCCGGTTGGTACTACTCCTTTCCGATTAGTTTATGGGAAGTCTTGTCATTTACCTGTGGAGGTAGAGCATAGGGCACTTTGGGCTTTAAGGACTGTTTGTCTTGATTCATCTAGTGCAGGTAAAGAGCGGTTCTTTCAGCTGAATGAATTGGATGAGTGGAGGGCTCAGGCCTTTCATAATTCATACTTATACAAAGAGAGAGTAAAGCAGGCTCATGACAAGCACATTAAGGCGGACCGCTAGTTTGCAGAGGGGGAGAAGGTGTTGTTGTATAATTCAAGATTGAGACTTTTTCCTGGGAAGCTGAAGTCCCGATGGACGGGACCATACACTGTACGTCGAGTATATCCCTATGGAAGTGTGGAGATTGAGCATAATGACGGCCGGGTTGTCAAAGTCAACGGCAACCAACTCAAACACTATTTTGGGAGAATATATGAAAAGCAGAAGGAGGTTTTAAGCCTCGAAGCCATCTTTGAATGAGATTTTATCGTCAAGCTAGTGACGTTAAAGAAGCGCTTCTGGGAGGTAACCCACCAAAAAAACTAAAAAAAAAGAATTAGGAGTTTAGTATCTCTTGTTTATGCATTTTTTGTCTTTGTTTCTGTGTTTTCATCTCGGAGTTGTGCGGTTGGATTTCTTTGCCGTGAATTGCAGGTGTGGCATGGGAGTTCATGAACTGATTTTGGAAGAATTGCAGCCCTATGTAGATGAGGTTACTGAGGACTACTCACTGCAGTTCCTTCACTGCAGGCCCGGGTGCAATATGAGGGCTGGTCAGAACTTCAAGCAATTGCAGGGTTAATGGTTGGAGACCTATACATGCTCAAGAAGTTGGGATCTCTGGACAGAAACTTAGTACCAGCAGAGGGAGAGATTGACCAGCTGTTGGGAGATTCAGGATGGCATCACATGCTGATTTCCGATGACCAGAACAACTGCTCATGGATAGTAGACCGCATGAACTATTTCTCTGTTGGCAGGAGCATCACATTACATAAGGGAGGAAATGATTGGATGGCTAGCACACTCCCATTGGGTTCAGCGGACAGGATTTTAGCCTTCAAGTGGAAGAATTCAGCAGCTTCTACACATCTGGCAGAGTCATTTCAGACTTAAGGTCATGGCTCTAGGCGCACTATACAGACTTCTCATAACCAGAGACCGACGGACTATCCGATGCTGAGTTTTATGTTAGTCTGGAGGTTATTCACTGCAGTTTGGCTTATACGGTAATCTGTCAACTCTTACTACGTTGCTAAAAATGTGTGTTTACTGTCTTATTACTCCTTTGTTGAGTTGTGTTTATTATTATTCTGATTATCATGTGCTGTCGGGCTGAAAACCATTTTATTCTTTAACTTGCCCCCGTTATTTCTTTTTTTATCTTTTCTTTGACCTCGAGGGCGATGTCACCCCTAAGTGTGGGGAGGTTTGGTTTTAGCTTGGACATGATATTTGGTTATGAAGTTATTCTGTCCGAAAACATTTTGAAGTGCACGAGGTTCTTTTTTCTAGTATAGCAACGCAACAGAGGTAACTTGTTAATCTTTATTTTCTTTTGTAATCTTCCGTCTCCTCCATCTTTCTTGGAAAGAATTAGTAATGGTGTAATCATCGAGGTGGTGTGTATATTCTTGGGAAATGTTGGCATGTTAGATGGTTTGATTTGTGTTGATTAAATTCGGTTTTACTCGTGATTCACTAGTTCGACATCAATAATTGCTTGACTGGCCAGGTGTTGAAAATCCTTACTCCGTAAGGAGCTCTGCTTTCTAAGCATATCGAGATAAATTCATGCTAAGCAGGCAACTGATTCTTGTTAAGGGATTACACTTCGTGTGTCGAGAATTTCATCTCCGAAAAGGGGCTCTGTTCATCTCGCGAATCACCCCGTGTGAGAGTTGAGTATGCATAGTAATGAGATAAACTCCCAGGTCCTATAGCTAGAATCAGCCCTGTAATCCAGAACCTGGCCAACTTTTCATATTAAAAAAAATTGAATCACGAGCATACCGGTTTTTATCACACAATTCTTGGGTTTTTGGAATGATTGGTGGTTGGATTTCACACACCTACATCGTTGGGACCATCATGCTTTTCTCTACATTTAGTCGGTGGGAGAGGGATTTTACTTTTGATAATATTGTTTAACATGTGAATCTTGGTTTTGTTGTTAAGAAAGAAAAGACCTTGTGCAGTCATTTGTTTTGGGTGTGAATGATTTTTAAACCAAGTGTTACATGTGATTATTTTGTTTTCGTGGGTTTAATACATACATTGTTGCTTGGGGGCAAGCAACGATCAAGTGTGGGGAGATTTGATAGGCTCATTCCGTCCCTATCTTTTCACCCATATTTTGGGTGTTAATTGTCTAATTTTTATAATTAATCGGGTGACTATTGGGGGTTTTGAATGAAACTTTGTAATTTTTCGGTTCCAGTGTCATTCATTTTCAGTGTAGTATTTTTCTACGGAGTTTGACATTTTTGGAGTAATTTAATTGTAAATTACATATTTTTAGCGGATGTGATGAGTTGTAATTATACCGGTTGATTTTTGCGGTGACTAACATGTTATGTTTGGACCGGACATTTTGAGAATTCTGTTATGATTAATTTGGCACACCATCCCAACAAAAGAAAAAAAAGAAGAGCATTCATCTGAAGCAGCCCAAAAAGTCCAGCAAGAGTAAGCGTTTTTCATCAGGAGAAAACCCCAGCCGCAGGGGGGGATGAGAGCCGCAGCAGTTAGAAGCAACCAACGTTTTTCTATTCTTCACTTAGCAATAGAGCCGCATCCATTCAAGTCCTTTCTTTTCTGTCAATTAGCCGCACCAGGAGTCGCATGAGCTCTTCTAGCCTTCTATTCTTTCTATTCCAAGCATAAAAAAAGGAGTAGCTGTAGCAGTCGTTCAATTCTTTCGGTTTCGTATCAATTAGCCGCATCAGTCATACTTTTTGTTTTGCGGAGGATCAATTAGGGGCATCAGTTTTTCTTCTTCTCTTGAGAAACAATCCCAGCAGCCACACGAGACGACCAAGGTTTCAAAACATCAATTTCATTCAATTTCTTCCAATCTAATTTAGATTTTCAGCAAGTATCGTAAGTTTGGAATGAATTTTGAATTTGTTTATCTCTGATAGCTAACTTCAGTTTTTTTTCATTTAATACTCATAATTCACTTTTTATTTCTAGTTCATTATCATGTTTACCAATATTATCGTGATGTTAGTTTTAAGTATGAGTAGCTAATTCCACATAGGGTTTGAATTGGAGCTAGGGTTCATGGGTTCTTGAGGGTGTGAATTTAGTTTTTGAAATTCAATTAATTTTCTGCAAAATTGTACTTCCTCCGTTCCTTAAAACTTTGTCATCTTTCCTTTTTGGACGTCCCAAAAAACTTTGCCACTTTCCCTTTTAATCAATTATTTTGTGGTTCCTGTTATTTCTCTCTCCTCTGCACAAACCTTAACCACACAGTTTTTAATTTATTATTCTCCGTGCCGGTCAAACATGGCAAAGTTTTAAGGGACGGAGGTAGTATAAGATTAGTCATAATTGTCTATATGAATTTGATCACCTCATATATGAATGTCTGGATTTAATTCAATTCTTGTCTATGAGAAATTGAGTTAAATTAGCATGAGTCTTGTACAAGCAATCTGATCTTAGAAATAAGTTAGGATTGTGATAATATATTTTAATTCTTGTCTATGAGAATTGATTTCATTTTCTTTCCAGGTTTAATTGAAAATTAATTTACTTAATTCTAATCCCGAAAGAACACCCAGAACCTGAACCATCCAATTTGAACCCTGTTTTAAAATCTAGAATCAATTTAATTAAAAAAAAATTACTCTATTTATTTTTGCACTCGCTGTTAGTTTTTTTTATCACCCGAAAACAATTTTTTCGAAAAGATTACCATGACTTATGCTAGCCTGTGATCACGGACTGTATTTAAACTTCCTTTTTGCCATTTCTTGAGAGACGATACTCGTGGTCTGGTTATTCTACGGATTAACCAAATACGTTTTACTCACTAAAAAATTACACCGATCAAATAGTATTCAAAAGAATAAGTTTTTAATATCCTTATCAAGTGAGAAATTATTAAAAACATCACGGAGCATTAAACTATCTAGATATTCAGGAATTTACCTCTAGATATATCTAAACATCAATTACCAAAAAGTACAAAAATTGCATTTACTGGTGGACACTGGACACCTTTAGTGCTTGCGTGTGCACGCCACTCTATCCTAACAAATTAGAATTTACTTTATGTCATTTCACTATTTTATTAACTAAATGTCTAAATTCTAGATAGAAATAAAGAAAATGAGGAATGAGAGAAAAGCTGAGAAAAAGGAATAAGATATATAGATATGGACTCACGAACTACGAAGTATTAAGAGACTTATAGGACTGGGCGAGGTGTACGGCCGATGGCCGTTGGGTGGACTGCCATCGCGGGTCACCATTCAGAATGTCTCATGAGAATTATGAAGTCGGTGTGCTTGCAGTTGTCGATTCCCGTTCGCAGAATAGCCATGAACCAAGTCTGCCAATGATTATCACCACGTATATATCCAATACTAACTTTTATTTTTATTTTGGAGGCCCTCTTACCAGGTGAGGTCTAAGGCAGTTGCCTGGCCCAACTGGCTCCAAAGCCGCCCCTGACACTACAATCGATGCAGCGGAGGATCTAAGAATCAAACCTATTTGGAGCATAGTAAAACGACATACATAAAGAAAAAAATATACGGAGTACATAATAAAATATTTCCAGATAGCAAATAATACAATATTACAATATCAAAGAACTCTAATAAAGTAAATCGGAACCGCGCTCTTCGAATTTTCATCATTTTGAAAGATATCTATTACAGTTTCATTCGTAACTGTTTCAAATACATCCCTTTCTATAAAATAAACTAGAAAAAATCACTCAAAATTTGAGCACCAATTCTATTACTCTTTAGTCTTTAGTATTTTCAGCGTCACATAAGGCGGCTGTGTCGTACTCCTTGTGCTATACATTCAATTTCATCTAATGCACACTAGTATTTCACTCGTGCGTTGTAGGGATAAACATTTTACTCATAAGGGTTTTATTGAACATAAAATTGTATATTTTAAGTGATGGATAGTGTACCCGGGGGGTAGCTTATCCGAGGGGTTGTTACGGGGAGTAATAAGAGAGAAGTCAGAGCAAGTAAATATAGAGAGAGAAAGTATATTATAAAGTGTGGAGCGTTTTCAGCGTGGTTACAAATGTGGAAATGGGGTGCTATTTATAGTAGCAATAAATGCCGGGCAGGGACACGTGTCAAGCGTCCATTGGCCGAGAGGTCACCTCAACTGGTTGGCGCTGGCAGCCGCATGTGGCCGCATTTAATGTGGCTGTTGGATGGGACGTTGTACAGGGTACGGTGATCTATACGCATGTGGCGCGGATATTATGTCGGGAGAGGTGCCCTCGGCTGCAGAGGACTAGCCGAGGGCTCTGAGTGCCGGGGACCCCCTGGGTGCCGAGGGCTCCAGGTGCCGAGGGCTACTGTTTTCTGACGTTTTTCTCCCAGTTTCTTAGTTTGCTTGAAAAACCCGTTCTGTGAGAGTTTTGAGCCTTCGGCCAGGGGGCCGAAGGCTCCCCATTGTGCGCTGTGGGCTGCTGAGTGCTTGAGGCGCCGTAATTTGGGGCCTGTTGTGCTTCCTGGGCCGGTTGGGCCTTTATTGGTGTAGTAGGAGTCTGTGGGCCGGGGGTTCCCGGGCCATATACTCCATCAGGAGTCCCTCACTCCTTTTGCCGAAAGGTACTTGAGGGAAAAGGAGTAATTTGTGCCTGCCCTTTGATGTTGTCCCGTTGTAATCTCTGAAGTTGGTGAGGAGTTGTTGCTTTCATGTCCCTGCCGAAGGCAGTCCCTCAGTTACCCACATGTCGGGACTTGAGGGCTTGCTTTGCCGTTTGTTGGAATTTTTCACCATTTTGTAATTTTAATGATTTTCCCGAGGGGGTCCTCCAGTCCCCTACTCCTTGAGGCACTTGTAAAGTGGTGAAAAGGAGTAGAGTTTAGTCCGTTGTAGCATGGGGCCGAAGGCTGACGCTTTTCGTTTCATTTTGGGGGGATGCCTCATTAAAAACCTCATTAGGAAAAACCCTGTGGGAAAAAATCCTAATGAGGGAAAAAGAGTGCACCGAATTCCCCCAACGATGAATCGAAAAGGTGAAACCTTGGTTCAAAAATGGAGAATAACGGAAATGCCGAAGGCTCTCCTTGTTCTGAGGGCTCATGCGTTGATTAGCCGAAGGCTTGCTGTTGATGTCCTGAGAGATGCCGAGGGGGTCCCTCAATCTGGGGATCGAGGGCGTGATGGATGAGGGCAGTAGTTGAATTTTTACCGGGGTGTCCCCCGCTTGCTGATTAGTTGGTGATGAGGATATCCGAGGGCTCACCTTACCCGTGTGCCGTAGGCTATCTGTCAATGAGGCATGCTTCCCGGGGGCTACCCGGCCCTTACAGAGCTGAGGGGGAATCCCCGAGGGGTGGCCTGATATGAAGCCTTGGGCTTCTGAAGGGGAGATCCCGAAGGCGACTGTTATGTACTGCGTGGGGCACAACCCGGGGGCGTCTCTGGGTAAGTGTACCCGGAGGTTCTTCTTGATGAAGTGGAGTGAAGTAAGAAAATCCGGGGGCTCCCAGAATATAGCCGTTGGAAATATAGCCGTTGGAATATGTAACGTCAGGATATAGCCGTTGGGGGGGTACACGTGGTGCGTGATGGTTGGCTGTCCGTGGGCAGCGTCACCGGTTGGGCGAAGACACGGCGTGTAATGATGACGGTCCATCCGGAGGCCCGGTTTTCAGGCCCAAGCCCGGATTCCAGCGCCTATAAATACCCATGGCCGGGCTTCCTTCCCCTTGTGCGAAATTCTTATAGCGAAGCTCTGCCAATTTTTCTAGAGAGAGAAACAGCAGCCCTCGATCAGGTTCTAAGGTCAGTTCTCCATTCGCACTTCACCTCTTAGCTAGCTGTATTTGTGGCCTTGGACTAGGTAGGTAGCTTAGAGCACTTAGCGTCCCCGAACCCTCGACCTAGTACATCAATGTCTTCACAGAGTGATTCTCAAGACATCTCGGGGGCACCCTCGATGGAGGATGAAGTCCTCTCGGATGTGGAGTCCTCAAACGAACAGTCATCGGCCCAGGAGGACGTTGCGATGGCAGTAGAGGTGCAGAGGGAGCTGATGGCTGAAGTTGAAGCCGAGGGCTTCGAGCAGGAGGTGGAAGACGAAGAGCTGGCCCTCGCCATGCAGGTTGCAGAGGAGGAGGAAGCAAAGGAGAGGACGAGGGTGATCGTGGCTGTCCTTCCCCCTCGAGGTGCTGGTGAGGCCAGTACCTCTCGGCCGCTGAACGCGGTTCCCATCCGGGTGGCCCCCGGAAAGAAGAAGGCCAAGGTAGCTGCTCCCGAGAAGAAGGGCAGATTTGCAGATCAAGGGAATCCCCTCGATATGCCCGAGGGGTACTCCTACCTGAACACCGTCGCCTTGGAGATAAGGTCGAAGGTTGATGCGGCGGAGATCTACGTCACTCAGCTTCACGTGGGGCCCTCGGCCATCGTGGTGACACCGGGTCCAGATGACGTTCTCTCCCGGGCTCCCGAGGGCTGTATAGCGGTGCATGTTCTCTCGGTGTCCATGGGGCTCCGCTTCCCCCTTCACCCTTTCCTCCGGGAGTACCTCCGGTTCGTGGGTCTGGTCCCCTGCCAGCTGACCCCGAACAACCATTCTTACATTACTGACTTCCTCCAGCTCTGCAAGTCCCGGGGGGTGACGCCTAGCCTGGACCTCTTCTTCCAGAGCTTCAATTTGTGCCGGGGGGCATGCGAATGCCGAGGGCTTCACAAACTTGCAGCAGGTGGCCATGTTCAAGCTCTTCACTGAGGCGCCCTCCTCGAACAAGGGGTGGAAGGACCGGTGGTGCTACGTGAAGCTGACCGAGAGCCCCTTCCCGAGGGAGTTACGTGACCGTTTCAGGAGGCACGAGAAGAGGAGGAGCGCCGCCCTCGAGAAAGACGACAGGATTCTGGCCATGATCCCGGAGGGCCGGGACAAGAATATCACCATTAAGGAGTGCGCCAAAGAGGGAGATCTCTACACCCTCGGGTTCCGGAGGTATCGCTTCCTGGGGGAAACAGATGAGAAGTTC